TCGACTTCTCCGATTACTTTTCTAAACTTTGTGAAGAACCACTGCATCGACAAATCATTCCGACTATCACTATGCTGAATGCAAGAGAGTAAATTTGGATATTGGCATCTTGACATGTAACAATATCGAATTTGCCTTGATATTTAGATTTCAGTGTTGTACTGTTAACTAGAATTAGGGGTCATATAGTATTTCAAATTTTCCGAATGCATTGTACAAGAGCCATGAAGAAGAATTTGAAGCAATTCTCACCCTCGTCTCAATAAAAAATGACGAGTCAATATTAGTTTTCTCCATGTTATGACAATACCTGACCAATTTGGTATAACTTTCCTCTGCAGAGCCCATTAAATCCTCAAACGCGTATTCTTTGACCTTCCAGGCCTTCTAGTATCTCAAAATTACTCTGTATTCTCGACGGACGTTTGCCTGTGATCATTTCGACGTAATTCCACTTCACAAGTATGTTCCCATGTATACTTGCGAACTACAAAGCACTCATTCGTGTTCATCTTCGTCGCTCGCAATCGCCAACAACAACTATCGTCTATGTAGCCGATCGTCAACAACGACTTGTTCGATTTTTTCACTTTGAACTCAAAATTGTATTTCAGTGCAATTAGGTGCATAGCTTTCTGCAAATCTTTTTTCGTTTCAAACAATTGCTCGACATATAAATCATCACTATTAGGAACCACACGCGAGGAGTTAGAGGATGATCCACTCGATCCAGCCCTTGAGGTCCCATCCTGCTATGTCTCTGTCGGGATAAAACGATCAAATTCTCATTTGTAAAAGTATTTACATTTTCACACTCATTGTAGTGAACTATGGACGGAATTCTGTGTGTAATTATCTCTGGAATAATCGCATCATCTTCATGAGCTATCTAGACCGTATCCCAAAAATCATTAGACTTTAATCCCCTCCATCCAAGTCTACTGTTCACCTTCGATGACATCGTTCCTCACTAAATTCACGCAAAGAGGAGCCGTGTGCTTATTGTTCAATTCAAACAGATAATTCAATCGAGTATAAAAAAAGTCATAGGTGGAATCAGAATATCTTAGTCGCTGAATTTAAATTTCAGTTCCATGTCATACTGAGAGAAATATTATAGAGTTCTGCATATGATGTACTTGATATTATGAAAATTGGGATACCACTACATGTAACGCTTATTCATTTCGATACCCATCGATCTCTTTTGCCTAATTTGAAATCATCAAAGTAACAAACTGAGACTACAACAATATCTACATGACGAAATAAAAATTTTAATTGCAAAAAAATATCAACGGCAATTAAAATAGCAAAAAAACAAAAAAATTTGAAGAACAGCCAGCTGTTGTTTGGTTGTTATACACAGTCGACTATTACTAGACGGTTAAAAGCTGGCAGGACAGCTGGATGTTAAAAGTCGGTTGTCCGGCCGATTACAACCATCAACAAAATATACAGATGAGTTTTTTTTGTATATGTAGATGAATTTTTCCTCGTCAAATGCTTAAATTTTTCACAGATCTATTAAAAAAAATTATCTATACTAACATTATATGTCGAAATAAATTTTATCGATTAAAACGTACAATAATTTAATGAAAATAAAAAATGTGCATAATTTATACTTACCGATCTGATGAGATTGATATAAAAGAATTTTCAGTTACCGTGTTCGATAAATTTTTCAATTTTTGAGGTTGGAGCAGATAAAAGATGAGAGTGATTTTATCTATGTTGGAGTAAAAAGATAAGAAAAGTTTGCTGATTTTAATATTCTAAATAGGAAGTGTTTGATTTTTAATTGTTAACTAAAAGGTAGTAATGTCTTTTAAACAAAACCATCTTTTGTAATTGTATAATGTACTTAAGAGTATTTTTATCTTTTATCACTCAATAGGCCATTGTGATAATATTAACAGTTCAACAAGTCAAAGTAGAATTTCACTTGTTTGACAATACCATTTTTAAAAGTACCCCTATATTAATCCAAATCCTTTCCATACAACAATTATGATATAAGTATAAACAATTTTAATAGGAAATTTTGACGAATAACACATGACATGAAATTATTGGAAAATTGAAAGAAAACAAATAAAATAGGCAAATCCGGTTACGCTATGTCAGCACCTACATGAATTCGGTAAGAAATTCCCTATACTAGAGGCTTTTTCCTCCGTACAAAACTATTCCATACAATTTACATACAGAGAAATGGGAACAGAGACAAAAGGAAGAGGAAAGGAAAAAAGAAAGAGGAGAAGAATAGGTACTCATGAAATAAGTGATTTATACTATTAAGTTTTAATTTTTTAATTGAATAAAGTCACTTAACCAGATTTAAAAATAGGGAACAAGGAAACACACTGATTTGGTAGCAAATAAATGGTGTTTTTTTGTTTTAATTTTTCAAACTATCTAATCATGTATTGACACATGTCTCACCTATTTTTGAACTTGTATGTGTAGCATATTTTTTTTTTTAAATTTCGAAAGATGAGCAAAAAGTTAGTTATTAAAAGATTATGTTAACTTTTAGGGTGGTTGTATTATTAGCTTATATTAAATTTTATCTAAAGGAAGCAATTGAATTAAGTGTAATAAATTATGTATTTAAGTTAAATGAAGGTGATTGTGATAAATTAAAATCAAGAAATAGACTAAAAAGTAGAGTTAGCTTAAATGACTAAAGGCATTTGAGAATTATTAGATTTACTTAATATAGTTAGTCGTTTAATTTAGCATTATATCATATTTTAGGATGTAATGAAAAGACTGGGATAGCTTATCAGCTGAAGTAATTGCACGTACACCAACTTATGAGTGAAAAAAAGAAGTAGAATTAGCTTAAACGGTTAAAGGCATTTGAGAATTTGCTTAGATGCGGAAATATTAAGCTTCAGTATCACCTATTTAATTATTAGAATTACTTAATATAGTTAGTCATTATCTAGCATTATATCATATTTCAAGATGTAACGAAAAGATAGGGATAACTTATTAGTCGAAGTAATTGCACATGCACATACCTGTGAGAAAAAAACTTAAATATTTTTAGATATTGGCAAAATAATTATGTTATCATGTTACGTGTGATTACATGGATTATTTGTCTAACTACTTGATTATTATGAAATGTTATCAGAGTATGATATTTGTAGAATTATAAATATTGTATATTGATTACTTTTGAAATGGAATGTGATACATGTGTGATATTGAAATCAATCAAAAAAGTACTCGTAATTATATATTTCTTCTGGTGCACTGAGGAGTCTTGATTGTGTGTATGTAGTTCACTAAGTGGGCTTGAGGATCGTGTCAAGAGTGCTTAGCCTAAGGGGCAGTCTACGTGTATATGATTAGATTACGGTGAGATTTTTCAGTGTATTGAAATATGATGAGATTATGTATATATTTAAGTTGATGATTATATCATGATTATGTGATAATATTTTTCGATCTTATGAGAATTTTGTACATCTTTACTATGATTAAATAATGCCACACTGTGTATTCTTAAATTATGTGAACTCAATTTTCGTCAAATATATAATTAAGAAAGTATAATTATTTTCGAAATTCTCTACTCATTGGGCTATCAATCGTATATTTCTCACAATTTTTCTTATCAAGTAGCAATTGAGCTTTTTGAGTTGCTGAGTTGAGCTTTGATTTTAGAGTTGGAGTCACATGACTAGTATGAGTATTCATAGAGCATGTAGTCATTATTTAAGGACACATGTTATTTTTTGGATAGTACTTTTGCATCACTAGTAGATAACTGGAAAGACTTATTATATATTTTGCATCCACATATACAGTTCATGTTATTTTTATAGTAAAGAGTTTTAAAGTTCGACTTGTCGCTACTACATTGAGTTGTTGTGGTTATTGAAGGAAATTGTGGTTTCAAATTGATATCATATAGCTATTGGGATATGTTGTTCATTTGATTATAGGTTGGTTACTTTAAATTACAAAGAGATAGTGTCGAAGTTTTCTTAGAAAGTAAGTAATAATGAGTTGCATATTGTAGTACTTTGATGATGGATCCGACTTGTAGTTGGTATCTATCATCGAAGACGTCATGTTTTGGGTCCACTATTGCTACTCAGAGTAGGTCATGCTAGTTTGATATCAAAGCATGATTTAGGGTCCATACACTTGCATTGTACATGCATTATGATATTTTAGAATATAATGAATAATTGTAGATGAGTCATGCATTGTGGTAATAGAATTAGAAGGCTTCATTGTACAAGCATTTAATTTAATTTTTTTTATCCGAATCAAGGGTATATTGTACTTTATTTAAGCTGAAAACAAAAATCCAAACAAGCCTCCTGTTTGGTAGGAATTAAAGATCTAATTTTAATTTAAATCAAAATCAATAATTAATTTTAACTATATATTTTAGAGTAATGTGATTTGTCCCATTGAGATTATAACTCTAGTATTTATGACGCTAATATGACATTAAATGATAAGTACAATTAAATGAATCATTTAATTTCACATTTTATTTATCTTATTATTTAATACGACATAGACTGAGATTATAATTTTAGTGAGATTAAATAACAATATTCAATATTTTATAGAATTCACAACTATTTAATCACATATTTAATAAATTTTTATTAAAGCTTGTTAAAATTTTGATTCTAATTCTCACTAAAGAGAGCTAAATATAAAATCAGAGCCACCTCGACAAATAGAAATGTAATTTGTACATTATTTTCTTATAACATTGTTGCAAATGTTGATAGGTGGCAAAAAAATATATATATATTTGATGGAAAGAAATTATTATTTTTAAACCGTTCAATAACAACTTATCACGTGACATGTTGTGTTATACAGAGATGCCGTCTATATAAAAGGAAGGAGCGAGAGAGGAACACAGACTCGTCTCCATCGCGACTCCCTAAAGATCGAGGGTTTAATGGAGGTTTAATTAGTTATTTTCCTACTCAAATAATCACTCAGTAAGCCTCTTAAATTCATTTCTGAACCTAACCCATTATATATCGTCTTTACCTTTCCTTTTTCTATTTCTTTCCTGAATTTTGTTGTGGCGTGGGAAAATGCAGGAGCTTAGAGGTTTAATCAAAATTCTCGAATCGATGAATTTCGGTGAAAAATGCGTTTTTTCTTGAATTCTTGGAGACTTGCATTCTCGAGAAATTTAGTCTGGGCGAAGTTATATATTTTGTGATTATGTAGTGTTGTTGAATATGATTGATGGTAAGTATGGTGTTGAGTTCTTGAAAGAAAAAGAAATGGAAAATCATCAGGATAAACAGAAGAATATAACATCCGGAAGTGATGATTTTGCGCAGGCCATTGCTAGAATTGCGGTTGCACAGATATGCGAGAGCCTAGGGTATCAGAGTTTTCAGCAGTCTGCTCTCGACACCCTTTCGGATGTAGGGGTGAGGTACATTAGAGAGATTGGAAAAAATGCTATGTGTTATGCAAATTTAACTAATAGGAATGAGTGTAATGTGTTTGATGTGATTCAGGGTTTGGAGGATTTGGGTTCTGTTCAGGGGTTTTCTGGTGCTTCCGACTATAATCACTGTCTTTCTGGCTCTGGAGTAGTGAGGGACATTATTCGATATGTTTATGAGACTGAAGAATTCCCTTTTGCACATTCAATTCCGACTTTTCCAGTTGTGAAAGGGGGAAAATTGTATACAAGTTTTGCACAAATTGGTGAAAACCCTCCTAATGAATATATACCTAGTTGGTTGCCTATGTTTCCAGATCCTGAGACTTGTGTACATATAAATTCAAGAGACAAGAAAGAAGTAGAGTTTGCAGTGGAGAGTAAAGTTGAAGAGCGGCACATGAAAGTGGACAGGTCTTTGTTGAATTTGCAGCCGAAATTGATCTGTGATGGGTTGGAAACAGGATTAGCTGATGGAAATGGGTATGCTGCAAAGGCACAGCGCACAGTGGAAAGTAACCCCTTTCTTGCCCCACCTCTTCAGCTTGAGGAAAAGGACGTTTCTTTACCAATGCTTCCGGCTAAACTATCAGATGAGGCTACAAGCAAATGCCAGAATCATGCAGTTTTTGCAAACCATGTCTCTATTTTAGAGCCATATGCCCCAGCCACTGAAGAAATTGGGACCCATTCGTGTCAATCTACGCAGGACAGAAGAAAGGTTCCATTGAATGGGAGGAATACTGTAAAATTTAAGTTGGGAAGTAGCAGGAAGTGCTCGGGTACAGAAATGAGCCCTTGGAATGAGGGAATTGAGAAAGTTTCTCTTTGGTTTGGTGTCGATTGATGGAAAACATGACAAGAGAAGGAGAGCTGAGCAAATTATTGGGGAAAATATGGAAAATTCGCAGGACATTACTAGTGTAAATTAGGCATAATTGTTTTAGACTGTATACTTGTTTAGGGAACGGGCAGCTGCTACTTGTTCCAGTTAGTGATAGTCAAAGAGCTAGAGTTCTCTGCTTGGTCATTACAGATATCTAAAGATGTATTTTTCCAAATTTCACGAGTTCTCGAGGTATGTTGTTGGCAGTCACCGACATGAACATTTTATTGTACTTCTTTCATAATTAAAACTGCAATTTTATGGAAAGTGTCTGGCCTCCCTTTATTATCATTTTTATCTCTATGTCTGGCCTCCCTTAATTATCACTTTTATCTCTATAATGTGCAAGTGCACCAAAATATGAATCCAGGATTGTTTTTACTATCATTTGGTGCTAGTGGTCCATTTAAATGATTTTTTACGAAATACATCCCTTGTTATTTTTCTATCAATAGTTTCCTAATCCATAGTTAATTGTCAGATAATATTGCATCAAAAATTGCTGTCAGTGAACATAAATGCATAACTATGGTTTGGGAACTGAATGCAGTCTAAAGTTATGCAACAGCTGGTGATTCCTTGCTTGCTTCTTGTTGCTTTGAAGAGCTGCATGTTCAGTTAACTTGTAAATATTTCCCAAATAGCTAGATTCTATATGTTATGTCTTTATAATAATTTTATACACCTCTAACTAATTTGGAAGTATGTTGAAGTTGATTCACAGGTAATAAGACTTTACGGAATGCAGCAGTACGGTTAAGTTCATAACATCTACAACTACTTCTTTCAAATTCAAACCCAAGCCCTTATTCTTGCGTTTTCTTTCAAAGACAACAACGTATTCTCAAACCACCTATTCTTGAAAAAGGGGATCTTAGGTCAAGAAGACCATTAGACTCGCTTACTTTTTCTTTCTTGCGAATTGTCTTCAATTCGAAGCCGTTATCCTACTAACTCTTTGAAAGAAAGTCAACCTCTTTCAGATCCTCATATTAGAGAGAGCAGACTTTTCTCATCCCAAAGGATGGGAAGAGGGCGTCTGAGCTACCCTTGAGGCTAATTAAAAGAAGAGGATTACCTACCTTTATATCTGTTCAATCTTAATATGCGTGGTTTTGGTCGTTGACTAGTTAGATTTGATTTTTTTACTCCATCGTCTAGATGTATATTGCTTTGTCTTGTCCAGTTTCTGTTCCTCCTAGCAGTGAGTCCCAGTGCCATTGAAAGGGCTCCGTTGGAACCCATAATTATGACATGTCTCCTTACTAAATTAGTTCATGTAGTCAAATGCTGTTGTTCTTCTGTGAACTTTTAATCAGGTTGAAAGATCTCAGCTTCATTGTTCAATTGTAAGAGCAGGAAAATGAACATTTTGCTATAAGAATTTATTTGGACATCATTTTTACAAAATTATAGTAAGCACACAGAAGTGACAATTGTCGAATAAGTTCTGGCTTGCTGCTTGTGAACTGATGTATAAAAGGACTATTTGCAGGTGGAGCAGTTATACGTTGAGAACTGTTGAAAAATATTCTTCAGATCTTTTTTTTTTGGATCGTAAAATTGATTCTTAAAAATATTGCATTACCTTGAGTTCTTGAATCTTTCAATGAATAAGATCTATGAACAAAGGGTCTTTGAGGTTTCTGTGGTAGGCATTGAAGTATTGTTCTGTACCTTGTGGTTCACTCATGAACAGTGTTATATAGGTGATTCACGAAGATCTGAATCTGAAATTTAGTGTCAAAGCAGTTTACCCATTTATATACACATTGAAATAATCTTGAATTAAATGCTCTTTTTAAGAATACTTATCATGAAGAATTAGAAGATGAATGAATTATCATTTTTGTTAGGATCTTTTGATTATTTATGAAGTGAGGAGTTTTGTTTAAAGCGTGGAGATGTAAAGATATTTATATTGATAAAATTCTATGGAATTTTATATGAATAATTGACAATCTTTTAGCTCTATGGAAGTTAGCTATAGGAGGGTTTGCACAGCTCAATTTGAATCTTTAAATAATGTTTTATGTTTTTAAGGGTACTGCAAATTGTAGTTAATAATTTTGGATGGGGTAGACCTAGGTTGGGATGCTTGGATAATCCCAAGCTCTGTCCACGAGTAAATATAACCTAATAATGTTGTCTAAAACTTGTGATTCACCTAGGTTATTCTTCCTGGGAATGCTGTTAATTGGTTACCTCTCTTGACCTTCTATAATTTGCTATAGTTGTACATTAAAAGGAGTATATATGTGTGTCTATATATATATATATATATTAATCAATGATAATACACTGGAAGTATATTATCATTTTGTACAAGAAATGAACAATATGAAATTAGGCAACCATACTATAGGACTAGAAACTGTAGCATTGAACCAAGTATACAAAGTTAGATAAAACAGTTCTCTAAATTGTCTTCTTGTTCGTGTTTGATTTTCAAAACAACAACTGTCCATTTCTCTTCACATGCATCATACATTGCAGCTTGGAATAAGATTCCAAACAATCTTGCTATTCTTGTCACATAACTTTCTCCTCCATGCTCGTAAAACATCCTCCATAGGTTTAGGTAATACCTAATCCATATGTTGAGAAATCAGGATATTATTCCACAACACACGAGCATCATCACAATGAAGGAACAAGTGGTCAATTGTCTCCCCATCTCTCTTATACATATAGCACTATTTAGTAACATAAAGACCTCGTCTTCGAAGATTATCGCCCGTTAACGCCTACTCCCTCACAACCGTCCATAGTAAAAATGTCACTCACGGAGGCAATTTACATTGCCATACCATCTTCTAGGGAAAGGAGCTCTCCACATGTCCTAATAAGGATCAGAAATAGGTGCGAATAGAAAAATTACCATTTCGTGCCAATCTCCATCTACTATAATTACCATTTCGTGCCAATCTCCATCTACTATAATCACTCTCTCCTATCTGGATGTGCACCCGTACAAAGAGTTTAAAAGCAGCACATAATTATTTAGTTCCCAGTCCTATAAGTCTCTTCTGAAACCAATTTTCCATCTGAAAATCTGATAAGCCTCCAATTCAGTATACATATTCTAGAATGAACAAGAGGAGAGGCAGTAACTAATTCTGTTAGGTAGGGGTGTGAGGTGGCCAAAAATCTGTTACAAGGGCCTATAAATAGAATAAGATGGAGAGATGAAGATAGGAAGAAATTCAGTGAGTGGGTCAGCTAGGGAGGGTCTCAGTCCTCTCAATCGGTCATTTGTTCTTTTCCTTTACATTTCCTTGTAATTCCAATTCCAAAAATCAATTCAGCATTTCCTTTCATTTCCTGTGTTACTTCTCTTGTTTTCCCTGGCACTTGGTAATTTCTTTTACAGATTGGAATCTATCAAATTGGTATCAGAGCACCCTTCACCATAAGCATGACACTTGCAGATCAAGTTGGGGAACTAGAACAGAAAGTAGAAGTCCATCATCAAGAGCTGCAGGCAGGTCTTGAGTCCATGAGATCTGAGTTCAAAGTAATGCATGCAGGGATGCTGGAGAAATTTGAATTATTAATGAAAACATGGGATAATCAGGAAAGGGGACGGAAGGAGAAAGGGATGGCCTCCGAAAAATCACCAACAGAAACTGCAGGTTCGGGAATATCTCAACTCCGGCAAGACCTTACTCAAGGTACTGGCGGAGGAACAGGAGGTGACTGGAGGGGGGAACGGCGAGTGCGACGATTGGAGATGCCCGTGTTTGACGGGGATGATCCGGATGGATGGGTTTTTTGGGTGGAAAGATACTTCACCCTCAACCGGTTGACTGAAGAAGAGAAAGTCAAGGCAGCTGTGGTATGCTTCGACGGCGAAGCCCTAGCCTGGTTCAAATGGGAGGAGAAGCGTCGAGCTATGAATAGCTGGGAGGAGGTGAAGATCCGGCTATTGCGTCGATTCCGCCCTTCGCAAGAGGGGTCCCTGTGTGCTCAGTTTTTATCCCTAAGGCAACGCTCCACCGTTCGTGACTACCGCCGGCAATTTGAGACGTTAGCTTCCCCGTTAGTGGAAATATCGGAGGAAGTGTTGACATGCAGCTTCCTTAATGGGTTAAACCCAGATATCCGGGCTGAGGTTCTGTTGTTAAGACCCTTGGGCCTGGAGCAGATAATGGAAGTGGCCCAAATGGTGGAGGATCGAAACATGGTAACTAAACAAACCCACTGGAATGCTGGACCTATTAAACCAAAGAGTATCCCCTTCCATAACCCAAATCCACCACAATCATCTTTCAAGAGCCCGACCCACACCCATCACTCCCAAACACGCCCTACGGTTCCTCTGAACCTCCCCCTAAATCGCCCAAATTCTTTCCCCAAATCATCCATACCCTACAAACGGCTAACCGACTCTGAAATACAGGCCAAGAGGGAGAAAGGCCTCTGTTACCGTTGTGATGACCGATTTACCATTGGCCATAGGTGCAAGAATAAGGAGCTACAAGTGTTGGTGATTCGGGAAATGGAACTCAACGACGAGGAACCCGACACCGCCATGGCCAGCGAAGGTGAGCCCAACACCGGCGAGTCGGTTTATGCTGTAGAAGTGACCCCCGGTTCGGGACAGCCTGTAGAGTTGTCGATCAACTCAGTCGTGGGGCTGACCACCCCAGGTACTATGAAGCTAAAAGGGATGCTCGGCCAAAAGCAAGTGATAGTTTTGGTTGACAATGGTGCTTCCCACAATTTTATTTCAGCAGACCTAGTCCAACAAATGGGATTTCCATTGACAGGCACCGGAAGCTATGGGGTGGTCATGGGGACGGGCTTAACAGTAAAAGGGGATGGTATATGCCGACGAGTACCTCTGAAATTGCCGGGGCTGTTGATAGAAGAGGACTTCTTACCTCTTAAGCTGGGCAGCTCGGATATCATTCTGGGAATGCAATGGTTGAGGACACTAGGCAAAATGCAAGTGGACTGGGATACTCTAACCATGTCCTTTGACGTCGGGGGGATCAAGGTAACCCTGCAGGGAGATCCCAGCCTGAGTAAGATGCCCGTTTCATTGAAATCGATGTGGAAAGCTTTTAAGGAACAGGGGGAAGGGCTTCTACTGGAATTGGGAAGCATCACCGTCAGTCACCGGTCCGCCCCGCCCAGCCCCCCGAGGTTTTTTGCAGAGATTCTGGAGGAGTTCACAGCAGTATTCGAGGAATTTACTCAACTGCCTCCTAAGAGACTCCAGGATCATGCAATTAATTTGAAACCAGGGGCGGGACCAGTAAGTGTAAGACCGTATCGCTATCCCCACTTCCAGAAAAACGAAATAGAGCAGCTAGTTAAGGAGATGTTAGCAGCTGGAATCATCCAACATAGCACTAGTCCTTTTTCAAGTCCTGTGCTGTTAGTACGGAAGAAAGATGGGAGTTGGAGATTTTGTGTGGATTATAGAGCATTTAACAAAGCCACCGTCCCAGACAAGTTCCCAATCCCAGTCATCGATGAATTGCTTGACGAATTGAATGGAGCTACGGTGTTCTCAAAAATCGATCTCAAATCTGGTTATCATCAGATACGGGTGAAGGCCGAGGATGTCCCAAAAACAGCCTTCCGAACTCATGAAGGCCATTATGAGTTTCTAGTCATGCCCTTCGGCTTGACCAACGCACCAGCCACCTTTCAATCATTGATGAACTCAATTTTCAGAGAACAGCTCCGAAAGTATGTGCTAGTATTTTTTTACGACATTCTTGTTTACAGCCGTACAAAGGAGGAACACCGAGATCATTTACGAAAGGTCCTGCAGACTCTAGTAGAGCACCAGCTCTTTGCTAACAAAAAGAAATGCCTATTTGGGTAAGAGGAGATAGAGTATCTTGGCCACATTATATCAGCAAAGGGGGTGGCAGCAGATGAATCCAAGTTGTCAGCAATGAGGAATTGGCCACGTCCCCAGACACTTAAAGAATTAAGGGAATTCTTGGGGTTGACCGGATATTATCGACGGTTTGTGGAGTCCTATGGGAAGATAGCCTGGCCGCTAGCTCAACTACTAAAGAAGGACTGTTTCAGGTGGAATGACGCTGCAGAATCGGCCTTCGCAAAACTGAAGGAGGCAATGACAACTGTACCAGTCTTGGCTCTTCCAGATTTCTCGCAGCCCTTTGTACTTGAGACTGATGCTTCTGGACATGGGATAGGGGGCTGTCTTGATGCAAAATCAGAGACCAATTGCCTATTTCAGTCAGGTGCTACCCCAAAGAAGTCAGAATAAATCGATATATGAGAGGGAGCTCATGGCTATCGTACTGGCAGTGCAAAAGTGGAGGCATTATTTGCTGGGAAGGCGTTTTGTGGTTAGAACAGACCAAAAAAGTCTTAAATTCCTACTCGAACAGCTCTTAGTAAATGTGGAATATCAGAAGTGGTTATCTAAATTGTTGGGTTTCGATTTGGATATTGAATACAAGCCAGGATTGGAAAACAGAGCCGCAGATGCCTTATCCAGGAGGGGAACATCAGCCACACTGATGGCCCTTAGTATACCGAACACAATACAATTAGAGGAGGTGATAAAAGTGAAGGAAGAAGATCCTGAACTAAGCCGAATCATATCAGCCCTAAGGGTGGACCCTTCTTCCTGTCCTGGATTTGCTATAGTAAGAGGGGCTTTGCTGTATAAGGACAGGATCACCCTACCTAAAGGTTCTCCCATTATTTCGTTAGCATTACAAGAAGGCCATGATAGTAAAATGGGCGGCCATGGGGGATTCATTAAGACTTACAAGAGGATAGTCGGGACTTTTTATTGGAAAGGTATGAAGAAGGATATTAGAAACTATGTGGCTGCTTGCGAAGTTTGTCAACAGCACAAGTACTCCACGTTAGCACCTGCAGGACTGCTACAACCTCTACCTATACCACAGAAGGTATGGGAGGACATCTCCATGGATTTCATAGAAGGGTTACCAAAGTCTGAGGGGATCGATTCAATACTGGTAGTGGTCGACCGCCTAAGCAAATATGGCCACTTCATTGGCTTAAAACATCCTTTCACAGCTCCGACCGTGGCTGCCATGTTCATCAAAGAGGTGGTTCGCTTGCATGGGACACCAAACTCAATCATAACTGACAGGGATAAGGTATTTATGAGCAAATTTTGGAGTGAGTTATTCCGTTTACAGGGGACTAAATTGAAGTTTAGTTCAGCCTATCATCCCCAAACTGATGACCAAACAGAGGTGGTGAATAGAGGGATAGAGACATACCTACGGTGTTTTACTTCAGCTCGGCCGAAAAAGTGGTTCCGTTTCCTGCCATGGGCGGAGCTATCTTACAACACATCATTTCATGTGTCTGCACAACTCACCCCATTCCACATAGTTTATGGACGAGAGCCTCCGCCTCTAATACGGTTTGAAAAGGGGTCGACACCTGTATCATCATTGGATCAGCAATTGGCAGAAAGGGATAGACTTTTGGATGAGCTAAAGCTGCATTTGAGCCAGGCACAGCAACAGATGAAAAGTTCAGCTGATAGACATAGGAGGGAGGTGGAGTTCTCAGCTGGTGATAAGGTCTACTTGAAAATGCGACCCTATCGCCGCAAATCATTGGCACAACGCAGCAACGAGAAACTTGCACCACGGTACTATGGGCCGTTTGAGATTTTAGCTAAAGTGGGGAAAGTTGCTTACAGGTTGGAGCTGCCACCTGGTACCCGTATTCATCCTGTATTTCATGTTTCGCAATTGCAAAGGGCGGTAGGAGAACATCATCTGCCTTCTATGTTGCCTGATAATTTGGGAGTGGACTGGGAGTTAATGGTTGAACCAGAAACTGTGTTGGGAGTCAGGACTGCTTCGTTGGGGACAGCAGACTGCTTGGAAGTGTTAATTCAGTGGAAGGGCCTATCTCCATTGGAAGCTACTTGGGAGCCATTCAGCCTCATTGATCAACAATTTCCGGCCTTTCACCTTGTGGACAAGGTGACTGAATTGGGCGGGGTAGTTGATAAGCCTCCAATTCAGTATACATATTCTAGAAGGAACAAGAGGAGAGGCAGTAACTAATTCTGTTAGGTAGGGGTGTGAGGTGGCCAAAAATCTGTTACAAGGGCCTATAAATAGAATAAGATGGAGAGATGAAGATAGGAAGAAATTCAGTGAGTAGGTCAATTAGGGAGAGTCTCAGTCCTCTCAATCGGTCATTTGTTCTTTTCCTTTACATTTCCTTGTAATTCCAATTCCAGAAATCAATTCAACATTTCCTTTCATTTCCTGTGTTACTTCTCATGTTTTCCTTGGCACTTGGTAATTTCTTTTACAGATTGGAATCTATCAAAATCCCGTTGTATATCTAGGACATTTTTTACCATAGCAGAAGGCATCAAAGCAATGCGTTACAAAGAAGGAAAAGCCATCCTTAACAGTTGATCTCCACACCAACAATCATCTCAAAAGCTGATATTATTACCATTCTCCATGACAAAAGTCAATCTATCTCGAAAATCTTTCCGCCCTTTTCGTATATATCACCACAAACTCATCCCATAGGAATCACGGCCTACAACTTTGCACCAATCCCCCTCCATTACACCGTACTTTACTCCAATAATTTCTCTAAAAACTCTCCCTCTCCACTTCAAATAGCCATAGCCATTTACCAACAAGGCCTTATTAAATAGCACGTCTTCTCAAGCCAAAACCCCAAAACCTTACTGGAGAACAAACTACATCCCAATTTACCAAATGAAATTACCGTTCCTCCCCCATCTCTCACTCCCTTTGAATCCTCTCTAACCTATTTGCCACTATCACAGGAATAGGAAATAATGACAAAAAATAAGTAAAAAGCTCGAGAGAGTGACTTAATTAGCATAAGACGGCCTCCCTTTGAGAGGTACATACGTTTCCAGCCTACTAACCTCCTTTCCACCCTTTCCGCAATACCATTCCAAATGTCAATACTTTTAAATCGTGCACCTAACGGGAGCCCAAGATATGATATAGGCAGCTGTGCAACCTTACATCCCAATATATCAGCCAATTCCTCTACATTATCAATCTAACCCCACCGTAATAGCATCAGATTTCGCTAGATTGATCTTCAATACAAACACAGCTTCAAAACACAGAAGCAATCGATGCAAGTTCCTAAATTACTTAGCATCTGCATCACAGAAAATTAGCGTATCATCTGCAAACAACAAATGTGAAACCTATAACTAACCAATCATAAAGCCCTTTAACATACTCTCCCCCACAGCCTTCTCGAGCACCCTACTAAAAGCCTCCATTACAATAACAAACAACAATGGAGAGTGGATCCCCTTGCCTCAAGCCTCTGCTACTTCGGAAAGAACCCTTAGGACTACCATTCACCAAAACTAAGAAAGAGACAATAGAGATATAGAACTAAATCCACTGGCACCACTTGTCTCCAAAACCACATCCCCTAAGCATATACAAGAGGAATCCCCAGTTCACATGATCATAAGCCTTCTGAATATCAAGCTTACATAATCCCCTGACGTAATCTTGAGTTAATACATTCATTAGCTATAATTACAGAATCTAAGATCTGGTGCCCTTTCACAAAGGCATTCTGAAATTTAGATACCACTTTCCCCAGCACCTTCTTTAATTTGTTTGCCAAAACCTTCACTATAATCTTGTACACCCCACTTACCATGCTGATAGGACGAAAATCCTTAATATCCTTCGCTTCCAATTTCTTAGGAATTAACACAATAAATGTAGCATTTAAACTTCTCAAGAACCTGCCATACTGAAAAAAAATAAGTAAATACTTCCAAAATGTCTTGTCGCACTACCTCCCAATAAGCTTTATAGAATGAGAACGAGAATCCGTCAGGTCCAAGGGCCTTATTATCATTCATACTGAATACCACCTTTCTAATCTCATCCTCCTCAAAAGGCTTCTCTAACTAACCGGTATCCTCCTCAGTAATAGTAGAAAACTCCAACCCCTTTACTTTTGGCCTCTAATACAACTGCTTCCAATATGGATTCTGATAAAATCTAACCAATTGTGTTCCAATATCCGGTAGGTCCTCATATATAACCCCATCTACCTCTAATATATTGATAGAATTGTTGTGTCTGTTGGAATTAGCAACCCTATGGAAAAATTGGGTGCATCTGCCCCCCCCCCCCAAAGCACGTGACCCTAGATAACACCAAGCAATCTTCTCTATCTCCACCAACCTCTCCAACTCTCTCCTTAGTACTCCACGTCTCCCTCTCCCCATCTAATCCTTGGCTCTCCTCCCCCCTATCCAACTCTTGTGTATTTGCAAGGCACTGATTTTTACGACAATTAACTTCTCCCACCACCTTTTCATTTCACTTCTTCAAATCTCCTTTCAAAGCCTTCAATTTTTTTATTGAGCACAAAATTGGGAGATCTCATAAAGTCATACGAGTCCCACTGAGTTTGTACTCGCTCTAAAACTTTTTACTTTTACCCACATCTTTTCAAACCTAAAAAGTCCCCTTCCGCTACACGTTACATTCCCAGATAATGAAATAGGAAAATGATTTGAGTACACCCTTCCCAGTCTCCTTTGCATGACCTTTGTATACCTAGCCTTCCACTCCCACTCATAAATAATCGGTCTATATGAGATAGAACGGGTTGATCTCGATTTGATGACCAAGTAAAATCTCCCCCAATCATAGGCAAGTCCACCAACATATTATTCTCCCTAATAAAATCAGAAATGCCCTCCATAGCCCCCGTTAGTCTCCCCCACTGGATCTTTCAGTAGGAAATCGAACCACATTAAAGTCACCACCAATACGAGTTGGGAGGTTCCACCACGCAACCATACCGGCCAGCTTACCCCATAGGCCCCCTCTGTTATCATTAACGTTGGGCCCATAAACTCCTATAAACATCCAACAATATCCTTCTCCAATATTTCTAAATGCAAGTGATAGAGAGTATCCCTTCACTAGCCTCTTCTATATCAAAAACTGTTGTGTCCGACATGACTATACCTCATGCAACCCCTGATGACCTCACAAATTGATACCTCACATGCTGTCCCTCCCATCAGCTACTCAAAATACAATATTTTAACGTCGTGATATAATTTGGTGGTTCCAGGGTGGGCAGTAGAAGGAGTTGCATGTGCTTCGTATGGAATATCATCCTGTAATCCGTTTATATTAGGTACATATATTCGATGTCTATATAGAAAAATTCCCTCATCTGAAATACGATGATCTGTTGGTTTTCTGCTTGCTAAGTTTTGTCGAATTTTAGTAGCAAAAGAATTGCTCTTTTGACCTTCTTTGATTTTCTCCACGATGGTTAATTGTTCAGTAAGAGTTGTTAATCGTTTCCCTTTCAATCCTTTTTAATTTCAATCGGGAATTTTCTCGATCTTCACTTGATTGATCAAAGGTCTCTTGGTGGTCAAGTTTTCTGTTTAGTGCGTCAGTAGCTACATTTACTTTTCCTGGATGGTAACTAATGGTACAATCATAATCTTTGATTAATTTCAACCATCTTCTTTGTCTCATATTCAACTCTTTTTAGGTAAAGAAGTACTTTAAGCTACCTAAACAAATGAGAAAAATACATGATATATCTCATGTGTCAACTCTTCGAATATATATTCCAGATTCCTCTCATAAGTTAACCAAGGCACCAACTAATATTTATCCTGATTTGACCTGGAAAGAAACTAGTCAAAATATTGATGAAGGATATGAAGAAGCTTCGCAAGAAGGAAATATCCATAGTTCATGTTTTGTGGCAAAGTAATGCCATCGAAGCTGAAACTTGGGAAAGAGAGGATGAAATGAAAGCTCAATATCCCGAACTTTTTGACTAAGGTTATTTCGAGGACGAAATATTTTTTTAGCGGGGGAATTGTCACATACCAAAACCTTAGCAAATTTATAATAAATATTCATACTTTCTATTGTGATGTACATTTCATGTAACATAGAAAAAAGTTATGTCAATAATATTATAACTTTATGAAAAGAATTGAATTAAGATTTTGGTTAAAAACTGTGTGGAAAAAAATTAAAGGAATGAGGTGGCTACCTTACATTAATTACCTTGCCACTCTAAATACTAGAATGACAAATGATATAAAAGGTTAAGATTGAGGTGGCTACCTTATATAAATTACCTTGTCACTCTAAATACTAAAATGAGAAATAGTATAATAGATTGAGAATGAGGTGATTACCCTACATAAATTATCGTGTCACTCTAAATACTAAAATGATAAATGGTATAATAGTTTGAGAATGAGGTGGTTATCCTATATAAATTATCTTGTCACTCTAAATATTAAAATGACAAATGGCATAATAAGGTAAAAGGTGGCAAAATAATGATTAAGAAAAATAAATTAATTATTAATTTGATTCTTAATTACTACTATAAACATGAGAGAATGAGAATGAAAAAAATACAATAATTTGAAAACCAAAGTCAAGTAACTTCATAAAGACGGCACTTTTGTTGTCTTATAACTTGAAGATGATCACCATTGAATACATCGACTTTACCTCAAGCGAATGAATGATTTCGGAAGATGGTTGGTATTGCATGCATGTCAAAAAAATTAACATGTGGACCATCTATTCAGAATTTTCGGGCTTCCCCCACTTTGTGGGATCTCATGACTATATTGACTACTTCAAGGCCACTACTATGATTTACTTATTTTCAGATAATTTTCCAGGAGAATAAATGTGTGCAGGTGGTCTTTGATATGTAGTATAAATAATAGTGTCATCACACCTCAAGAAGTCCCACTCTAGCCATAGACACCAACCAACCCAACTAAGCCATCAGATTCCGACCTTAGCAAGGTACGCTAAAGTGAGTTCTATCCTTCTTTACTCACTATATGAGGCGAAATAGAATCAACTTGAATTCGGGACCGCTATTCGAAATCTTAGTGAAACACTGTATTTCTTATCTCATGTCTGCTTAACCTATCTTCTGCCGAGTTCATCCCCTCAGCTCGCGTAAATCGGTTGGTTATGGTTGTAAGGTATGGTGTGTAGTGAAACTTTTGTATAGCTACTAGTCTCTAACATGCATTTTGCAATGTAACAAAGTATATATATTGGTGTGATTTGCTTATTTCATGCTCTACAAATTGCCAAAAGTTCTCTTTTCATAATCAATTCAAAATTTTGCAATCTCTATACATAAATTTAAAGTCATAAACTTATGACTTTAAATTTATGTATAGAGATTGTAAAATTTTGTGTCATTTTATATTAAACGTATGTATAGAGATTGTAAAATTTTGAATACTTTATGAAGAGAGAGAATTTTTGGCAATTTGTAGGGCATGGAATAGACAAACTACACCAACTATGAGATAGTTAAAAATTTTCTTATATATATATATATACACACACACACATACATATATATACACACACTTTGTTATATTGCAAAAGACATATTAGAGATTAGTAGTTATACAAAAGTTGCACTGCACAATCATACCTTACAATCATAACCAACCGATTTGTACTATTATTTATACTACATATCAAAGACCACATGCACACATTTATTCTCCAAGAAAATTATCTAAAAATAAGTATATTATAGTAATGGCCTCGAAGTAGTCAATATATTAATGGGATCCCACAAAGTTGTGGAAGCCCAGAAATTCTAAATACGTCATCCACGTGTGGACTTCTTTGACATACATACAATACCGACTATCTTTCGAAGTCATCCATTCGCCTGAGGTAAAGTTAATATATTCAATCGTGATCATCTTGAAGTTGCAAGATAATAAAAATGCTTTCTTTATGAAGTTACTTGACTTTGATTTTCAAATTGTTGTATATTTTTTGTTTCTCTCATTCTCCTCTATTTATAGTAGTAATTGAGAATTAAATTAATAATTAATTTATATTCCCTTAATCATTATTTTGGCACCTTTTACCCTATTATGCCATTAATCATTTTAGTATTTAAAGTGCTAAGATAATTTATGTAGGGTAGTCACCTCATTTTCAAACTATTATACTATTTGTCATTTTAGTATTTAGAGTGGTATGGTAATTTATGTAGGGTAGTCACCTCATTCTCATCCTATTATATCATTTGTCATTTTAGTATTTAGAATAACAAGGTAATTTATGTAGGTTAACCACCTCATTCCCTTAATTTTTTTCCACATGGTTTTTAATCAAAATCTTAATTCACTTCTTTTTATAAGGTTATAATATTATTAACATAACTTTTTACTATGTTACATGAAATGTACATCGCAATAGGAGGTATGAATATGAATTATAAATTTGCTAAGGTTTTGGGAAGTGACAATTAAACTTATTAGCAGAATTGTGTGCATCTCTGAAAATGATTCTTTGTTCTTGCACTGTTTTGGGTTTGTTTTATGCAGTGTGGAAGCAAAATTGAAAAGATATTCTATTTAGAAACAGAATTGATATTGCTCGACTCTGATAAAAATTGTGTTGCACATATCAGCATGATTCTTTGGTCTTGCGTCATTTCAGATTTGTTGAAATCTTGTTTCACAAAGGAAGTTATCACGATTCTTGGACAACTGGTTTGATGTTAATTTTTGTTCAATTTGAAATATATCTGAGTTATGATTTGCACTTTGCTTGGTTGAAGGGCATATGTTTTGCTTCTAATTTCTAACCATTGCTAACTCAGCAAATGAAATCTGCTGGACCAAGGAGTATCTCTGTCATCTTTGATGTACCCAGTGATCAGATTTCAACTAGGAGTTGCACCATATGAGTCAGGAAACTGGACAATTGAGATTACTTCGAAATTACCATGACATATTTTGCAAGTATTCTGCAACCAAAAGGTAGTGTCAGTTAACATTCAGTGCTTTTTTTTTCCCTCTCTCTCTTTATAAAGATCTTGTAGTCTAGAAATTAACCATGTAGCTTTTCTTGATGGACAGTACTCTAAAGAACAAGTGCAGTTCCCAGTGGTCCATCTCACCAGGGCGAAGCCTAAAGTGGTTTTAAAAAAAACGATCCCTTCCCTCTTCTGGATTGAAGGTTTTATGGTGGTTTAATTAGCTATAATTCCGATCAGTCTCTAATAATCACGCAGTCAATATCTCACTCTCTGATTAAGCATTCCTCTTTCACTCAAAGATCAATTAATTCTCTTTCTAAAACTTGTGCAATAAAGACCCTGAAAATCTCCGTTAAGTAATTGTGCCATAATCTCATCTTTACATTTCTTTCTCGAATTGTTCTGCCATGGGAATATGCAAGAACTTGGGTTTTACTCTTACCTTGTTGAATCAATGAATTCCAGTGAAAAATGCATTTTTATTGAATTTTTGGAGAATTACTTGCTTTTTTGGGAAGTTTAGTTTCGAGCAAAGTTATATTTTATGATTATGAAGTGTTGTTGACTATGCAGATGGGAAGTATGGTGCTGAGTTCTTGAAAAAGAAAAAAGCACCACAATAAAAAGAAGAATAGAACATGAGTTCACCAAGAAGGCCATTGCTAGAATTGACGTCTCCAGGTATGCTCTAGCCTAGGGTATTAGGTCTTCCAGCAGTCTGCTCTCGACACCCTTCTGGACGTAGGCGTGAGGTATGTTAGAGAGATTGGGAAAAAACTGCTATGTCTGGTGATTCAATGTTAATGATCGCCTTTCTGGCTCTGGAGTAGTTAGGGACATTATTCGATAGAATCACTACATTGATGAAGCTGAGGAATTCCCATTTTGCATATTGGTTTCTGACTTTTTGAGTCATGAAAAAGATAAAGCTCCATGCAAGTTTTGCACAAATGGGTGAAAGTCCTTATGATATGCCTTGTTAATTGCAAAATGTTTCCAGATTCAAAAACTTGCGTGGATTTAAGTTCTAGGGACGAATGAAGAGAGATTGCGGTGCAGGGTAGAACTGAAGGGAGGCACGGGAAGTGGACCAATCTTTGTTGAATTTGAAACCGGGTTAGCTGATGATGAACCAGGGTATGCTGCAAAGGCACAACGTGCAGTGGAAATAACCAATTTCTTGCTCCCACCTCTTCTGTTTGAGAAAGGAGGTCTATTTACCTGTTCTTCTGGCTAAACTAATTGTTAAGGCTGCAGGAAAATGCTGGAATCGTGCAGTTTTGAAGAACCATGTTTTGGCTTTAGAGCCATTTGCCTGGGCCACGATGCTATTGGGGGCCAGTCATGTAAATGAGGACGATTAAAGAGGACAAGAGAGATGTTCTATTTAACGAGAACGATTATAAATTTTAGTTTAGAAGTAGCAGGAAATGATCAGGTACAGCAGTGAGCTCTTGGAACGTGGGAGTTGAGAAAATTGCTCTTTGGTTTGTATTAATCATGATGGAAAAGATGACAAGATCAAGAGAACTGTGCAAAATCGCAGAAAAAGGAAAGAAAAAAAATTCTCAAGCCCTGTATCGTGTATAAAATTAGGCATATTTGACTGAACTTGGTATACTTTAGGGAACTAAAGGGGTATTTTTCAAACTTTCACGAGTTCTCAAGGAATGTCGTTGTAACTCACTGACATGATCATTTTATTGATATTTTTTTCTTAATTGAGATTAGAATATTCAAGTTTCAAGCATCGGGCCTGCATTACACGTTATTTTTAAATGCTTTATAGGTATTATAGAAATAATATTTGAAAATGGGAGAATATCTAAAATAATTAATACAAATTGTTTTTGTGAAATGAACTTTTGATTCAAATAAATATTAGTTTGTGAAAATAATTTGAATAGTTGAAAAAGTTAATTAGAATAGTTTATATTTTCTATATTTATCATTTTAATCTAAATTGAACATTCAATGAAGGGAAGCGTTCCTTCTATTGATATTTTTTTCTTAATTGAGATTAGAATATTCAAGTTTCAAGCATCGGGCCTGCATTACACGTTATTTTTAAATGCTTTATAGGTGCTATAGAAATAATATTTGAAAATGGGAGAATATCTAAAATAATTAATACAAATTGTTTTTGTGAAATGAACTTTTGATTCAAATAAATATTAGTTTGTGAAAATAATTTGAATAGTTGAAAAAGTTAATTAGAATATTTTATATTTTCTATATTTATCATTTTAATCTAAATTGAACATTCAATGAAGGGAAGCGTTCCTTCTACACATGGATTTGACAAGTATTTTTTACAAATAATCATGACATTTAATTTAAACAAATCTAATGGTCAGTATGTATTTCACTAGGATCATATGATATATATTAACTGTTGGATTTGTTTAAATTAAATGTCACAATTATTTGTCAAATCTATTTGTAGGAGGAACGCTCCTTCAATGAATATCATCCTTTCTTCATATTCATTTAATATGTATTGAATATATCAATTAAAATTGTTTATTATAAATATGCATTATGTCGTCTCATTTACCTTCTTGGTATCTTAACATTCATTGATTTAAACCTTCTCTGAATCTTAATATTCATTGAATAAATTAATTGGAAGAAAACTCTAAAAATATTTGTTTGTTGTTTCAAATTTTTTTTAATGAATTTAATTTTTCATCCAATTAAGTGAATGAATCTGTTAAACTTACATTCATCGCAATGAAGAGAGTGTTTGGTAGAGATTTTGAGAATTGATTTGTTAGAGATAAAATTGGGTCCTACTTGTGATAAAAGAATTCAGAAATGACGACTAGAATAGTGAAATAACGATAAAAAAAATTGATTTTAATTGGCTTAAAATTTTCAGCAAACACCTCCTAAATAATTGATAAAATAATTCATGATAATATGGTTCAAATGATAATGAGATAATATTTAAAACCAGATAAGGTGTAGATGCAGGATCCCCTCAAATTTACATGTAAGTATTTTAGAATTTGCTTAGTTTTATGAATATCAATAGGAAAAGGTAGTTTGACTTGTTTACTAATCAACATTGTTCACAATTGGTAAATTCACAAATATTCAATTTCCCAAAAACTCCTTTATTTTGTAAAAACTTTAAACCTTTCTTTTCAATGTAACCAAGTCTTTTATTTCATAGTTTTGCAAGATTAAAATTGTCACTTAAAATTGTTGAAATTAGACCAATTAGAGGCTTAGCATTTAGAAAATACCGGCCATCTCTCTTTAAGATAGAAGTGATTAAATCATCACCTCTAAAGATTTTTAGATGTCATCAAATTTCATGTCATCTAACATACCTTGAGATACAAGGTTTCTTTCAAGTTCAGAGACAAATCTAGTGCCTTTTAAAAGTAAAATTCTTTCATTTTCTAAAAGCAATTTAATTGTTCCAATTCCTTTTACTTTACCATATTGTTTTGCATGATAACTTGACCTCCTTTTGTATTTTCAAAGTTTAAAAAATAGCACTTGTTAGGACATATATGGAATGAACAACCTGAGTCAAGGATCCATTCTTAATTTAGGTCCTTTTCCATATTTACAAGAACAAATCCATTGTTAATAACATAGTATTACACTCACTCGATTCTCTCTCTCTCTCTCTCTCTCTTTTCAAATCAATTTGCTTTTTAAAATAGTATTTTGCAAAATGACCCATTCTCCCACAATAGTAACATTTCTTTCCTTTTGCCTTATTCTTGGATTTGTATTTATCACCATTTTTCCTTCTAAAATAATTTGCAGTTTTTGAGTGAAAGTTAGATATATCAATACTTTTGCCTTGTATCAAAAGATTTTCTCCATTATCACCATTAATTGATTCAAATTTAAGTTCAAGAACCCTATTCCTAAGAGCGTTAACAATAATGTCAATGGTTAGTTCATCTCCACCATATTCTAAGACATTCTTGGGTTCTCTATGTCCATTACTAATGGAGTTCAACAAAACTATAGCCAACTAATCTTTTGAAAACTTCTCATCACAGTTTGCAAGATCTTGAGCCAATTTAATAAATCTATTTAAATTTTCTTGCAAATCAATAGAAGGGTCCATTTTAATAGAAAAGAACCGTTTTAATAGAAAACATTTATTAGGAATAGTTTTGGGCCCATATTGAGCCTTCAATTTGGTCCAAACTCCAAATTTCTTCAATGATTTTAGTTTCTCCAATGGTTCACATTTTCAGAAAGATACAGGAAGATAGCATTGCATGTTATTTCTTCCAATTTAGTTTTTTAAAGGTAGTCATATCTTCTAACCAAGAACCATCTAAGGCTCTAGCACAGTTCAACTGCGTTAAGATAGCTCTCATCTTTTGACTCCACATATTAAAATGTCCCCTCCCATTATATTGGTTTACTTCAAACTTAGTAGTTGCCATCATATATGTCAAAAGGATAAGCATGTTTGAGTTAAAAATACAATGAGAGTCTCACAGTGAAAAGGCACTTAACAGAAAAGGTTAGGCTAACAATGGTGCACACAGATATATGTACTTAATCAGTGAACATATAACACAAAGTATAAGAAAGAATCATAGACAGAGATTATAATTCCTATATTTCAAAAATTTCTCTTGCAAGATCCTCCAATTGCACCCTTGTACCGAGTTTATCTCAGATTCCCAAGACCTCTCAAGAGTCTTTGGGCAAAGACCATTCTCGAGAGGGTATTTGCATAAGGTAAATCAAGGAAAAATCAGGAAACTCTAAAACTTAGAATTACCAATTATCAAAATATAGAAAATATCTCACCGAATGTGTTCAATAAACTCAAGTTCCTTCATTAAAGTTTACACAATTTTGAGATAGGTTTCAGATCCACAGTTTGCTCCAAGATTTGGTATCACAATTCATTGAAACTAGGATTTGATACCACTAAAAGGTCGAGAAACGAACAAGTTTGACAAAGATTTAAAACCTATCGATAGAATACGTAAAGAAAATGTAGAAACAAAAAACCAACATTAAGGATTTTTCGGCCATAGCCCCATAAATTCGACGACCACTTCTAACGTCTAATTCCCCGTTGAGCATCCATTGTAAATGGATAAAACTCGATTGCACTATAAAGCCAAAGATGGCAACCACAATACAATAAATTTGAAATATTACAAGATCAAGTCACTGAGACTTATCTTTAAAGGCAAAACTCCAATTTGAAGTCCTCTTCACCAAGAACTCACGACAGACTACTAAACCCTTCTCTAAAGTATATTGTCCAAATGAATCACACAGATTCTTCACCAAAATCACTCAGAAGGACACGGTAGGCTTTCGATCTACAGCATTATAGTACTTCACTAGTATTTACACACTGGAATGAACCAAGATGAGAAATCCTAATCACGAAAAAGAATTCTCTCAGAAGACAATCAACAGTCAAGCCCCCTAAAGAATGAAAATTGAATTGAGCATCCAGCCAAACAATCGCATAGATGGATAGAAAGTTAGAAGCATCTAGAATCTGATTTGACGGTCACTAGGTAGCCAGGTGTCACAATCCGATAATAGCATCCACTAAGAGAAGTGCATTTTGAAAACACGTTTCTTTAGTAATTTTGGAATCATACTTTTTAATTATAAGTGGTCCAAGGTTCGAATCATAACAGGATGGAAGATCAATTTTTCTTTCGAATTTGAATTTTCCTTCGACGCAAAGAGTAGCTCATATAAAGGGTAAAGATAGAGAGATAAGCCCTACAATTGACAAAAAAGCTCAATATTTAAGTAATAATCATGACTAATAGAAACATTTTAAATTTTTAACTTAATTTAAAAAATAGATTATTTATCTAAAAGCTTCTATTATCCAATTCCACGGTCCAAAGGCATTCGTATCCATTCCCCACTCTCAACATTCGTTTCTGTGGACAAATATATACAATTCGAAAACTCTGAAATCATATCAATCCTCATTTGATTTGTGCAACGGAATAAATTTTTAGTAGATTTTAATAAAAGTTAGTGAAATATGTGGTTGACGGACTAATAAAAGTTTTGAATTTAATTAAATATGTATTTGAAAATAAATTTGAGAAAAATATGAATTTTAATATTGTGGACCAATAGGGCTCGATGTAAGTGTAAGTATTTGCCGTTCATTAGAAGGTACGATTCATTATTCACATTAGCATCAGGATGCTCTAATAATTCAATAAGATTTCTCTGTCAATCGGAAGCCAACCACAAAAATACAGAAGTGCCAGCTCCATTTTGAATGTCAAAATATTGTCTCCACTACTTCTACTAAAAATTGTAGCAGAAGTCCCTAGTAACTTACAAGACCTTAATCTTTTGATTTTGTAACACATTGATCTTCACTAAACAGTAAACTATTCCATTCGTCCCATTTATATAGATTGATTTTATTTTTTCACACGGATTAAGAAATTTTATTTAGGCCCTGTTTGTTTCCCATTCTTTGGTCAAAAAATGAAAAATATGACCGTTATCCATCACATCAAGTCATCATATTTGAATTCCTCTTTCTTGTATGGGTTTCGTAACAACTATATTTTTCATTTTATTCTTATAAGAATGAAAATCAAACGGGGGCTTAATGTTAAAAAAGCAATTTTTGCAAAGAATTTTCCTAATTTACACTTATTTAATTATCATCAATTTT